AGAAACAAGGAGTCATACAGCCTAGTTGTTAAAACACTGATATTAGACAAGTTGAGGTTCGAATCCTGACTCCACTACATATTCTTGGTAATAATAGTTATAATAATACTACCTATCTCTTTGGGGGTTCAATTCAACCATACAATGTATATAAAGCACTTTGCACAATAGTAAGTGCTCAATAAAAGGGAGCTATTATTAGCACATGAGAAAGAGGAAACACCATTTTCTGAAAATCTACTATAAACCAGGCACTGTATTAGTGATTTACATATTTCATCTCACTTAATCCACACGAGAAAACTAAGGCTCAGAGGCACTCAGCTCTTCGGGACCCTGTTCTTCTCTCCCATGTTTGAGGGCCCATGTTTCCCCACTTGATGATTCTCCCAGCAGCCAGGAGGCTAATGGTACATATCAACTTCAGTTTTCTTTTGAGCTAAGGGGTGACTTTAACCAAAAGTAACTCGACCACAAGCAATAAGTCTGTCCAAATCATCCAAATTTGTTTTCATAATGAATTTTTTACATTTTAACAAGAAAAACTAATTGCAGCCCTGGGTACAAAAAGGAGAAACAGGAAGGGGTACTTTGGATTAAAACAACTACAGCACAAGGAAGTTAAAGCCTCTCCTTAAACACAATCCCAAATGAGCAGATCTTCCCATCTCATAGAGCAGAAAAACAGGCAGGAGGCCAGATGACAATCAGCTCTTGCTCAGGTCCCCAGATGTGATGTTTCCTTTTACAAATCTGTGCCTTGGCAAACGCTACTCTCTCTGTTTTGGAACGTACTTCCATTCTCACCAGGCAAATTATTGCTTCTTCTTGAAAATCCAGCTCAAATCACCCCTTTTTAGTAGCTTTCTCTGACACTCCATCATAAAGTTAATTGCTTAAGTGTGATCCAGTAGCACAGTTTATTCCTATTTCATAACTTTTATCTATGTTGTAAGATTTTAGTTATCTGTTTCTCCTCCCACCAGTAATTTTCAGGGAGTTAGGTGAGGAGGTTGGAAGATAGCAGGCGTGCATGTGTGTGTGCGCGCGTGCACATAAGTGTGTAAAAAAGCATACCTGACATGACAATTTCTTGGACTTGTTTTTTTGTCAGACTCTTTAATGCATTTTAAAATTTCAAGTAGCCTTAAAGAAAAGCCTTAGTTTTTTTCGTCTAAATAATCCAAGAGTGTAAAAATTCCGAGAAATACTGAGCTAGACATGGATCTTTAAGGCCAAGGACCACGTTTTATTCATTTCTGTATTCCCAGCACCCAGCACAGGGCCAGGCACAATGTGAGTAAAGGTTTGCTGAGTTAATTAATATGCCCAAAGTCATGATGTTCATTGCTCTGCAATCAGAACATGTTAGAACAGAGCAGGGCCTAAGCACCAAACAAAGCTTCTTTTCTTTCTTTCTCTTTCTTTCGCTATCCTTCTTCCTAGTCCACCCCATTCTGTCCTTCCCAGTTGAAAAGAGAGAGAGAAAGAAGAGCACGTACTGCCTTGGTGCTGGAATACTATTAAAAGGATTAATTTAGGGACCGGTGTTTGGACTGTCACATCCAATCACTACCCACAGATCTACAGCTTCCCAAATCAAGCTCATGCAAAGAAGAATCAATTGCAAGGACACAGAGGGTCTGAACAGGCATACTAATGGCCTCCTGAGGTGCCAGCGGCCAGCTCTGACACTCCCATAAATTATCCGCCTTTTGATTTTACCTGTAGCTGTGGGGCACAAGGCACAATTCTGAACATATCAAAGCAATCTCTCGTAACCCAAGGCTCCCCCAAGAATGTCCCCAAAGGAGGACAGGCTAAAAACAATGACCCAAAGGGAATCTGCTTCCCCACAGGCCTGTTCCTAGCAGTCATCAATTAAAACCCAACAGGACCAAGTGGACACAGAGGGACCCAGATCAAGCCTAGCAGACCTGGACAAGGCATGCATCAGACTGCAGTTCTGCAATGACTACGCACCTCTCACTCAAAGAAGAGAAGTCACAGCAATAAACTAACACAATTTCACCTGGAGGTAAATCTGCACTAGCTCTGACAGTACTTCACAGCGTGACCTCGGGCAACACACTTAACCTTCCTGGGCCTCAGTTTCCTCACATGGGTAGCAGGGACAATAATGCTGACCACCATACCCACTTCCCAGAGTGGTGGTGAAAAGTAATAAAAAATATTCAAGAGGCACTTTACAAAGATACAGGGCCACAGGGTGGCAACACTAACGAATGAGCCCAACGGACCAGGAGAAATGACTGGTCACACTTTGGTGAATTCCTTTCGGGTAGCTGCTCACTCAAATCGCTTCACTGATGGTGTTGGGGCTAAGGTCCACCCTGAAGAAAGTTCTGGGATTCTGAATGGGACTCCTGCTGTCTGAAAATTGTCCATTACGAAAGGTGGTGCCTTGCTTCAGTTGTAACTTCCTCCTGTCTGCTGGCTGCCTCCACCAGAGGCTATTATTTCTACCATATGGCCACAATGATAATTGTGAGAACCCAAAACATACTAAGCCAAAGGCCAACTCACCCAATTGCTGTCTGCTTTTTAAAAAATTATTAATTGTGTAAAATTAGTATTATTAACAAAAGTTAAAGACACTGTGCTAAGAACTTTACATACATTATCTCATTAAACCCTTTAACCAACCTCATTAAGTTCCATTATCTCCATTTTTTTTGTGTGTGTGAGAGGAAGATCAGCCCTGAGCTAACATCCTTGCTAATCCTCCTCTTTTTGCTGAGGAAGACCGGCTCTGAGCTAACATCTATTGCCAATCCTCCTCCTTTGTTTTTCTCCCCCAAAGCCCCAGTAGATAGTTGTATGTCATAGTTGCACATCCTTCTAGTTGCTGTATGTGGGACGCGGCCTCAGCATGGCCAGAGAAGCGGTGCGTCGGTGCGCGACCGGGATTCGAACCCGGGCCGCCAGTAGCGGAGTGCTCGCACTTAACCGCTAAGCCACCAGCTGGCCCCCATTATCTCCATTTTAGACAGGAAAGCTAAACTCAGAGAAGTCAGTCACTTGCCCAAGGTCACATAAACACTGTTATCAGAAACCTACAGGCTTCCCTGCAGCAATGCAAGTACACTGGGGCTTGTAGGAGGAGGAAGACAATTCATCAGACACTCAACAAATACCTTATTTGGTCCCTGTGCTTGACACTTACCATCATACCTGAACTAGGAAACGTTCCCAAAACCAGAAAAACGTCATCAGTTTGCTACAAGCAAGGAAAGGAGAGACTGAGTAGGACATATATAGAATGAGGACAATTCCCTGGAAAGCTTAGGAAAATGGGTCCTTCTCTGTGTGTGTATAGTTCAAGAAGTTCAAAGCAACTGACATTTAGCTATGAGCCCCAAGACCAAGATCCCCACCAGGACTCCATTTATTCCCTACTTCTTTCAACAGAAAAGAGTTCCCAAAACTTTTTCATTCATTCTACACCAACTTTCCCTTCCTACATCTTTTCTAGTCTGTGAAATAGGAGCTGGTATCACCAACAAATTCTTTGGTAGACATCCTTTAAGCTCCAGATACCCAGGAAATTAGTAAAGAGAACCAATATACACATATATGCACAGACTCAGTTATACTCAATTTTTAAGTGTCAAAATGCTGCCTCAAAGGGAGAAATATAAAATGCTACCCATGTAACTCCCACAGCCTCTTGACTGTTCTCTGCCTCCAGTATTGTCCCCATTCAACCCATTCTTAACACTGAAATCAGAGCAAACTTTCTTAAAATACAAATCTAGTTATCAGTCCATTGCTTAAAACCTTTTAATGGCTTCTTACTGCTCTTATGATAGTCTGATCCACAGGCTGGCAAACTATAGTCCACAGGCCAAATCCAGCTACTACCCGTTTTCATAAAGTTTGACTGGAACACAGCCATGCTCATTCGTTTTCGTGCTATGGCTGCTTTCATGCTGAAACAGCAGAGTTGAGTAGTTGGATAGTTGTGACAGAGACTCACAAGGCCTAAATATTTAGTATCCGGTCCTTTACAGAAAAAGTTTGCTAACCTAGTCCAATTTTCTTTCCACCCACCATCTAATCCTAAGAGCTCATAAAGCCCCGGCCTCTGCTTACCTTTCTTGCTTCATTTCTCACCATATTCTCCTGTCCCCTGCCCTCTGAGTACTCTGTTTCAATCACTGAACTTGCGTTTCTCAAACTCAACAAAGCTCTGACCTTCACACTTGGTCCCTTATGTCTTCATCTAATTCTAGATGAGGAGGTTACTTCCTCTGAGAAGACTTCCCTCAGCCCACCAGTCTGGGTTGGAGACCCTTCTGTGTACTCCCAAAGCACCTATACTTACCTTAATATAGCATTCTCAGAGTGTATCATAACTGCTTCTCTACTATCTGTCTTTCCCACGAATTTGTAAACTCCTTGGTGTCAGGGACAGCAGCTATCTTGTTCACACAATCCCAGTGCCTAGCAAAGTGCCTGGCTTCTAGTTATTGAACAAACAGCCTCTAAGATCCTGGATATCAATCACCAGAGTCCACCTTTTTAGCCAACCTCCATCCTTGTAAAATGGAGATAGGCTGGGATTTACCATCCACCCAAAGGTGACCCACAACCCAAATTAAACCAAAATCCCAAAGGCCTTGGTCAAATGCATTATCAAGAGTCAAATGATTGTGTTCCTATTGTCTTAAAATGTGTATTTCTCAGGATAAAGGGCTATTCCAGGTCTATTCAAGCTTCCTTAACCTAAAGTAGGTGCTCATGCAATGCCCACAAAGAAATCATGACAGTACTTGAGAGCTGGGATCCCCCACCTCCAACTCTCATCATTTTATAGACTTTGGGTAAGTTTCAGTAGTTCTTGAGCGTATAGTGTCTTATCAGAAAAAGCTACAGAAAAGTACAATCTGCACCGGCCCCCACCGCCCACCTTCCAAGCCCAAATACTCATAAGGAAGAAGTCAAGCCAAACTTGACCATGCAACAAGAATTCTCACCTCTCCTTACTTCGAAGATACCAAGACTGGCAGCTGGGGATGCTGAAGGTTCTGTGAGAGCTGGAAAGCCCCAATGCTGTGGATAAATACATATCTCTGCAAAAAGTCTATTTCATTATAAAGGATCAAATCCCCAGGGGGGCTGTTGTTTGAAACAATTTAAGGACCACACTGTACTTCAAACTCCTAAACTCAAACTACTTTGGGATAACAGCTATCTATGTGGAAGGACAGTGCCCGTACAGAGCTTTCAGAAGTTACTAATACTATATATTTTTCAAATAATGAATTTCATGTTCTCTAGTAGCATATGTTTCTTCCTAACGAGGCTTATCTCCTAGAAACATTAAATATTTACAATATCTGAGCTTGGATTAAAAAAGATGACCATGAAGTAGTGGCTCTCTGGATAATCCCAGAACCCTAGTCAACACTGGTAGAGCTGACAATATTCAGAACTCAGGAACTGAGGCCAGGCTTTGGGGAGGGGTTGGTTGCCACAAACCCACAGGCCATACTGCAAATGGCCACACAGACCAGGAAACACTTGCAGGATACTTCTAGGTCTGCTTCAAGTTCTAAGAAAGTCAAGGTAACCAAACACCAAGTCAAATCATCAATGGACACCTATCATATTTATCACTTAATTCAGATCTGCCAAAGGACTAGAAGTTGCAGAGGTGCCCTTGTAAGCTAGCAATGCCCTTTGCACAAAGAAAGGCCTAGGTTTGGCCTACCACTCTACACGTTTAAGACTTTATTCTACTCAGATCCCCTGGGAAAATGACACTCACCAACTTACCCCACCACAAAGAAAACACTTTTCAAAATGAAAGGAAATAAAAGCACTTTTATTCAGAAATTTCAAGTTGGAAGGAGAGCTCTCAGCCAAGCTGTGACCTAGCTAGCCGATTATTTACATGATCTTTGGGCAGGAATTGTTAATGAGCTTTTAATTTGGAGTGCTTAAGTTGCCAAAGTGCTCTGAGCTCCAGTGAAGCACCACAGAATCCATAAAGGAAACCTTATCAATCACTTCCCGGCAGCTCCCTTCCCCCCACCTCTCTGATGAAAGGCAGCCAAGTGGGTTTCTAACCAAGAGCACAGACACACACATTAGTGGAGTCACACTCCAACTCCCTGTTTATAAATTGGCTTTTAAATGGTAGAGGATTCAGGTATAATATACTTAAGCTCCAGGCACGAACCCACTAAAACAAGGCATACTGTGTATGATAAAGTCAGAATAAAGCAGAATTTGATGAAGCCAATTTCTGGCAGAAACTCTACGATCAAAAATCATTCAGCCAATCACAACCTACTATAGTTCAAACAGTGTATAGTCTTGAGCCAATGGGATTCGTGGTTTTTTGTCCTTCAGCTGGGAGACTGATAAAATGTCTGACAAGAGCTAATACCATAGGAAGTGGACAGAGACCTATAGAAGAGGCAATGACGGGCACTATCAGTTTGCAAAATCCAGCCCTAAGGAGAATCCAAACCCCCAATGAGGGGCCACATTCAGCATCTTCCAAGTCAGCAAGGAGCAGTTATATTTTGCAAGAACTCGCAGTCAAGCCCCAATCCAAGCTCACGCCTTTTTGTTTTAAGAAAACACCTGTTGCTGGAACATTTGCAGGAAAAGCAAACAGAAAGCTAGTCAGGTTAGGCCCCCCTATTCACTCCTTCCACCGTCACTACTACCACCGCTACAGATCTACAAAGAGGTAAACTGCTAACCTTGTGTGTAGGTGTGTGTGTTGGGGAAAGGGGAAAGGGGATGGTCTATCTATCTCCTTGCTGAGTTTCTATCCTCTCTGGTCAAACCTCGCTTCCCGTTCCCTAGTAATCCCTGGTAAGAAGTCTGCACCCTTAATCACCTCACCCGGTCTGTCTTGCAAAGCCCTGCCCCACTCCCCGTCCTCCAGAACGTTCCTCAGTAAATCATGCATCCAGGGTGAGCACATGGGCCACCCCAGGCTGCACAAACTGTGCGCGCCGCGACCCTCACCCGGCATGCATTAACCAGGGCCCAATGTGGGGGGCCTCTCCGCCATCACCCACCCCGGGGTGCTGCACCCAACTCGGGCCCATCCAAGTCCAGGGGAGAGTAAGGGGAGGGGCAGGGGGCCAGGAGACCAGCCCTCCTTCCCAGGGCCGCCCCCGCCCCCCGTCAGCGGCGGGAGAGGCTGTCGCCATGGCAACGCCCCCTCCTCGGGGCCAGCGCGGCAGGCTCCCTCCAGGTGCAGGCCCGACGTTTCCCTCGGCCTCAGCAGGCGCTCAGAGCAGTTTACGGCGGCGGGTGCGGCCCGCGCCGACTGCGGCGTCAGCCAGGCAGAGGCAGGGCCAGCTCCGCCCGGTCCCCACCGCCCGTTCCCGGCCGCCTCAACAGCGGCAGCCAGCACCACGAGTCCACAACACACCGACTCACCTCCGCGCACTCTGACCCCGGCCGACGCGACGGACGGGCGGGCGCGCTGGCCAACCGCTGAGCCAGCCGCCGGCACCTTGAACCAATGGGCTGCAGGGGGCGGGGCTTCTTCTCCCCAAATGCTCGCTCTCCCGCCGACATGCGCGCTAAGGTGCATCAAGATGGTGGCTTCCCGCGGCTGGCCTTATGGGACTTGTAGTTTTGAGGTTGCACATACTCAGAAGAGAGTGAAGGTGGGGCTCACTTCTGAGCTGGGAAAGAAATTTTTAAGAAAATATAAGCTTTCTAAGTCCTAGAGCGACCCAGGTTTTCCCACCTCCCAATATACTCAAAAGGTGAGTGTAGGCTCTTAAGGTGATATATTTAGATATCAGGATTCGTTCATTCAGCAAGTCATTATTATCATCTGCTGGCTGAGGTGTGCCTAGGGGAGACCTGAGAGGAGGGGGATTTTAGGCTAAGAAAATGCTTTTCTTCTGAAGGGCCTTCCTAGGGAAGAGGGAACTTGTTCAGGTCGGCTTCAGAGGGAACTTCAGGGTTAAAAGGATTGGCTGGCCTCAGCTGTGGGGAGTTCCACAGTCAGTTTCTTAGTCAGCTGGAGAGAACTCTGGGCGAAGTCAGAGATGTGTTGCTTCATCTTGGTTATAGCCTTCTGGGAAGTCATGGATACCAGGTTCTGAGCTGAGGAGCCCCAGCCTTGGCCAAGCCAGTGATGGCTTTGACAACCTTCCCATCAACCCGGAACCGTCTTCTGGGCCTAGCTTCGGTCACCAAGCCCTCTGTCTGCCATCTGCATATTTTCACTTAAGAAAATGATGTCATTTCTAGACCCTACCACCTCTGTCAAATCTGACCATAACATAATGGTTCCCGCCTGAGCTAGGAATGCCGGGTAATCCCCATATCAGGGAATGCCTGCCTTAATCCCACATAATGGTTCAAGTGAATCTACTCTGCACCTACAGAATTTATTGCATTGTTTTGTAATTGTCGTCTCCCCCCAGGGCTGTAAACTCCTTTGAGGAAGGCATTATTTCCATATTGCTCATGCTGTATCAGTAATACCTAGCACAGTGGCAGGCATCAAGAAAGCATGCAGTAAATGTTTGTGGACAAATGAGGGAATAAACATCAGCAGGGACAGATGTCGCTTAAGCAAGGTCAGTAAAGTAGAGGCACATCTGCCTATCCCCCGATTCTTGGAGCTGGAATTGAGTCTTCCTCCTCCCATTAATGTCATCTAGAAATTAATCTCAGTTGTTCAGTCAGTCAACATATATTTATAATGCCTCTGCTAAGTGTCAGGCACTGTTTCTGTTGCTGAGGATTAATTGGTGAATAACATGTACAAAACCTATATCCTCAAGGAGCTTTTATACTTTGGAGGGGAAGGGGGAGGAGGAACAGACAATAAACAAGTAAATAAATAGATAAATAAAATTAGACAAATAAGAGGCCCCTAGATGGCCTCTCCTGTCTCTGGCTTGGTTATATCGTGAGTCTGGCCTGAGGATAGGGCACAGCCAACATTCTTTGCTGTAAGAATGAAGTAAACCTACACTATCTGGCTTTCTTTAGGGCCCAGCCCGAGTATCCTCCATGGAGCCTTCCATGTTCCCTTGACTTCCCCAGAATGTGCTCTTTCCTCATTGGTGCTCTAGACCTCAACTTTACAGCTTCCAGGATCTCACCAGACTGTAAGCTCTTTTTGGACGAAGACCAAGCAAAATACATTCAAATAATAGAACAATTTAAGAGCTCAGTATACTCTTCGTGCCTTACACTGCCACCTAGCCCACCATTTGGCTCCCTCAAGCCTCTGGCTCTTTTGTGATTCCCTCTGTTTTCTGGTTCCCTAGAAAACAGCCTGAGACAAAGCTTATGTGGTAGGACTTCATTGGGAAGGATAATCCCAGGACAGCAAGAGTGGGGGGCGGGGGGAAGGAAAGTGAGGCAGGGAAGGAGGCAAAGAAAATATAAAGTAGTATGTTATAAAGTTGACCAGAGCGTCAAAGAAAACACAGCTAGTTGCTCTGTCATACAGGCCATGTAGGACCATGACTTCTCAGGGAGAAGTGGAGGGTTGTGTTATCTTACCACCTCTGTAGTCACAGGGGGCACCAGATCCCATGCCCTAAAGCACAGTGGTTCATCTGAGACTAGAAATGGTGAGAGGAGTCATAGCCTCTGGTTTGGTCAAATTAGGCCCACTGAGTCTTACCACAGTGGGCATGTTGGAGGCTCTGTGAAAACCTAACCCTCTTCCCAGAGGAGGCTAAGACAACCAGATGTGTTTGTAAATAAAGTGATAGCAGTGGCAGCTGGGCTGTCCAAAAAACAAGTGGTCAAGCCCCAGGATGGGAGGTACAGATGGGGAAGTGAATTTTTGCAGGCAGATGAACTGAGTCCAACACACAGACACAGATATACCCTGGGCAACCTCCTGGCTGCCAGATTAAGTGACTGAGCTGAAGTGAACGCTGAGAGCAGGAACCTAAGAGAGGACCAAGTTGGTTATGCTGCTGCCTGTTAAACCACCAGGAAAAACAGCAAGATAGCCATCAAAGCTGCGACCTTAACCAGCAACCAAAGGGCAGAGAACCCAAGGACAGTGCATGGCAGCCCCCAAACCTGGCACAGCTGAGAGGACCCAGACTGGGTCTGAAACTGTCTTATGTGAGAGCTGGAAAAACTGCTTCTGCCATTCACTGTCCCTGTAAGCTACATAAGACAGCGTAGTGCAGTTACCAGGAGCGTGAGCTCTAGAGAGAGCCTGTTCAGAGGTGAGTCCTGGCTCCCTCTGTGACCTTAAGCAAGTCACATACCTCTCTGAGGCTCAATTTCTTCCTGTCTAGAGTGGAGATACTACTAGTACCTACTTGTTATTAGAATTAAATACAAACACGCTTAGTGCAATATCCAGCATAAAGAGTTCAGTAAATATTGGCTATTATTACTTTTATTCCCACCCTCTCCCCCACCCCTCCTTGCCCCCCACTCTACCCTCCACAGTCTTCTCTCTCCAGGAGCAGTTGGGGCTGGGCCTGGCCATGCCTTCTTCGCTCTGCTCTCCCCAGGGCTGTTCCCTATGAGCCTGAGCCATTCATCTCCCTGGTGACCTGAATCTGAACTAAGAGACGGATGTGGGGTGGCTGAGGCCAGGGTGGTAATGTGCTCCCTTATCTCCATGCCCCTCACTGGGGCCTAGTTAATTTACCCTTTGATTTTAATATAGATTTATTGAAAGTTTCAGTTATCAAAACAAACTACAGCAGCAAATTGGTGTTCTTTGCAGGCCTACAAGTGCCTATAAAGCTGCCATGCTGGGGGACGAATGGCGCTCTCCGGGAGGTCAGTCATGGCAACAGGAACTCCCTGGGGACACACACACTGCACTGTAATATTTTTCTTATTAGCCTTTTTCTTCTTGGCTATCTAAGCCTCCCCTTTAAATCGGAAATCAGATGGAGCCTCCTGCCCAGGGAGGCTCTCTTCCCCAAGCTGCTCCACTCACTGCCTTTTCTCTATCCTCTCTCTAGTCCTAGGCCCCCTGCCTCTAATCCTCTGACTTCTCCCTGCCTTGCCCTCTGTTCCAGAGAGAGTTGTGATTCACATGCCCCAAAGGTGTGCCTCACAGCCCTGTCCCAGCTGTGGAAGGTTGGCTTGGGCTATCCAGCCACTAGTCAGAGGCAAAGCATCCCTAGAAAAGATTGGGGCCCCAGGCCTCTTCCAGATCTGGTGCTCAGAAGGCAGGAAAAAGCAAAGTCTTTAAAACAAAAGGGTTGTTTTCAAAAAGGCAGACAATCCTGTCAGGATCTATGGAACTCACAGAGGCAAAAAGATGATAATCCTAGAGATTGGACAAGTTTTCCTTCCAGCCCAAGAATTGTCTGATTTTATTCTTATATCCCCACTGCCACTCCCAATATGGCCTCTCCTCTCAGTCCCAACTAGATTTTTGAGACGCTCCATTCTCTTGTCCTGGTCTGCCTCTCTAAGAACCAGCCTGGTTTCTTGCCTTCAGTGGCTCCCACAGCTGGAACCACTCACTGCCACCTCTAGGCTCTAGAATCAGTGCTGTCCCAGGGGAGGATCTCCATGACCTGGTAACCCTGAGGGCACCATCATCTCCTCTTCTGAGCCCGAGGTGCTGCTGGGTCACCTGTGCATGCCATATCTCAATTCCCAGTGTCCTCTCCTTGCTCTTAAAAATTCCCTGCCAGCAGCAGGGGCTACCACCCTTCCTCAGAACTCAGACTGTGACTGAGGGTCCTGATGACTATAGCTGTGTAGCTAGAGTGGTGGAAGGTGCTAAGGTTTGGATCCAGACAGTCTAGGAATTGAATGCTGGCTCTGACACTGACTCTGTGACTTGGAGAACCTCTTTGTGGTCTCATTGCACCTTGTGCTTATGTCTACTCTTGTCTAAGAACCACTCTGTAATAAAATGATTTGCCTTTGTATCACTCACCTACAATATTCTGAGATCCTCAAGGAAGAGGAATGTGTCTTAACCATCTTTATATTCCAAGTGCATATGTATGATGAATAAGTAAAGTCACCTTATCTGGGCCTGTTTCCTCCACTGTAAAAATGGAAGACAATATCTGCATAACCAGTACAGTGAAGAAAGTACCTGGGGGCCGGCCCCTGGCTTAGTGGTTAAGTGCGCACTCTACTGCTGGCGGCCCAGGTTCGGATCCCGGGCGCACACTGACGCACCGCTTGTCCAGCCATGCTGAGGCTGCGTCCCACATACAGCAACTAGAAGGATGTGGAACTATGACATACAACTATCTACTGGGGTCTTGGGGAGAAAAAGGGAAAAAAAGGAGGAGGATGGGCAATAGATGTTAGCTCAGAGCTGATCTTCCTCACAAAAAAAAAATAAAAGTACCTACCACAGTGCCCACCCAACATAAGGTAGGCTCAGTGAGTAAAGTTTCCTTCATTGGTTTTCCCTTGAGGTTGGTCATCAGCCACCAGCACTCCCACCTTTTGCCTGTTTCCATCTCAGCTT